ACTAATACTAGTAGCTGGAGCTAAGAAAAATAAAATTAGTAAATATTATACCTGCCCTAAAAGAGCTTACACTCCAAGGAAAAGGACCATCTTTAGAATCTGAAGATAATTCAGTGAGCACTGATACAAACATACCTATACCAGCGTGAAGCAGAAAGGGGTCCACTGAGCTCAACATGGAATATCAGGAAAATTTGCTGGTAGAAACAAGTATAAAGTAAATAAGGATCAGTAAAATAAAAAGAAATAGGAGTAGTAATTCAAGCAGAAGGACAGCATGAACAAAGGATGAGATGCATAAAACAGCATGATGCACTAGAAGAACTGGAAGCATTTCTGTATATTAAAGCAAGGTGACAGGCAACAAGGTGGAAGGATTTTCTGTCTTTCTATATACAATATTTTTTTTCTACAGTTCATTATTTTACCCTATAGATGACCAATTAGAGGACTTTAAGCAGATGACATTTATGCTAGATTTGCATGCTAGATTTGCATGCTAGATTATGACTATAATAAAAACTGAGTGAAAGATTCAAGGCATAAAGTAGATCAGTTAAGGGAGACTTTTTAATAATTCAGATGGCAATTCAACTAGGACAATAGTTTTAGGATACAGGATGAAGAGATGGAATTAAACTATATTTAGGAGGTAACATTTGCAAGATTTGGAGGTCTGAATATGGTACTAAGGGAAAACAAGAGTTTAGGTTTCTGGCGGATGACTAGATGCTGATACTACCTGAGACCACTGCAAATTCGAGAGCAGCAGACTGGGCAGTAGTGGGGGTGATGATAGTGAGTTCTTTTTAAAACGTACAGACATACTAAGTTTTTGCTGCCTGTGGAATCTAAAAAGTCAGGTTCAATAGATGATTTTTGAGTTTGTTTTTATGTTTGTTTGTTTTTGTTTGTTTGTAGGAGGAGGAGTGCTGGGGATTAAACTGAGTGCCTTGAGCATGCTAAAACCACATGCCACCTAATAGAGTACACTCCCAGTTCTAGTAGATGACTATAAGTCTGAAACTCAAGGGAAAGTTGAAGAACGAAAATACAGATTTGAAAGTTGGCACTTCAAGCCATGAGAGTAATTATATCTTTTAAGAAAGGCAAGAAACAAGAGAAGTGAGACAAGAATAGAATCCTGGGAACACTGTGGTACACAGAGAAGAAGCAGTGCCCACAAAGACCAAATCAGGCAAAGGCCAAACATATCATAAAAGAAGACAAGAGGATCAAGAGTTAAAAGGTGGAAATCATCAACAAAGTAAAAGTCAGGAGGTCTGCCTGATAACAAACAGTTTCAGGACAAGATAAGTACATAGTGAATGGATGAGAAAATTAAGAGTGTAGAAATACAGACAAGTATTGGAATAGAAAGGAATGAGAGAGATATGGTTTATTTTCTTCCCCATTTCTCTATTCTCAAATCCTCTTTTCCTTTTTATTCTTTTATTTCTTTTGAAGACTAAGGATCAAGACCAGGGCCTTCTTACTGAGCTACACCCCCATCCCTTTTTTTTTTTTTTTTATTTTGAAACAATGCTTGCTAAGTTACTAAATTGCCTCGCTGGACTTGGAACTTCTGATTCTTCTACCTCAGCCTCCTAGCTATCATGCTCAACTCAAATCCTGTTTTCTTAGAAAAGTTTTTTTCTAGTTTTATTACTAACTATATTAGAAAATAAGAAAAACTTTTTATTTATATTAAGTAATTATTTTCAATATCTTTCTTGTTAATATTAGGAACAGCTATCCTTTACCATAGAATACAAATTAGTGACTTGGGAATGGAGAAACAAGTAAAAAAAGTCTTCAAAATGCTGTGAAGTCAATACATATATTTTCATATATCATATATTGTGGCTCTTCCTTTAGCAAAATAAGTGAGTTTTATTCAAAATTCCTATAAGTCCGGAAAAGCAATGTCTAAATTATAAACATACATTGCATCCCCCTCCAAAAAAAGAGCTGAGTTCTTAGTATTAACTATACATTTTAAAAACTATGAAATGGGCCGGGGATTTAGCTCAGTGGTTTCGCTGCCTGCTGCGCAAGCACAAGGACCCGAGTTCAATCGCCGGTACCAAAAAAACCAAAAAAAAACTATGAAACACTGTGAATGGGGGAAGAGACTCATTTCTGTCCAATAAATAATGCCTTACAAATTATTATAGAAACATTATGAATAACAAATATTTCAATATTATAGAACACTAATGTATAGAATTTTTTAATGGAAAGTTTAAGGTCATTCTCTTTTTCTACAGTTTTATCATTTCTAAAGAATTACCCATATATCTTAGCTTCTGCAATATTTGAGAATACATGTGTGTTATATATAGTCATTGTACAATTAAGAATGTGTAGGTTTTTTAAATGTAAAATTTGTATGTTGATTACACAGACTAGAACTCCTATGTATATGTCGCTACTTCATACTATATAATTTTAAAAATACCAATACTGTATCTAACCATCAGAGGTAACATAACTCTCTGCAGACAGCAACCATTTATTAAATGCCAATTATTTGCAAAAACTGAGTTAGGCATTATTCATTCAATACCTATAATTACACTAAGTAGGTCATTATTATCCCATTTCATATATGAGAAAGCTGCTAGTAAATGTACAATTAAATTACATCAATACTCTTAGGGATCACTATCAAAATTCTCAGTAGGGACAAATTTGTTATGTTTTTATATCAAAATCATAATAAAGTTATAAAATAGCATACACACAGTGATGAGATATAGGGCTGTCATGGTCATTCAAAAAATATAACCTCTCCTGGTATACTGTAATCATTTTAAAGCATAAGTCCTTAACTTAGTCATACATCTTTAATCTCCAAATCCATTTCATGCAGAAGAGAAATTGAGTGTTTATTAAAAATGTACATGAATAGTAAGATTTGAGTCAGGAGAATTTGAGTGGTAAAATATGGAAGAAAGTACAAAGAGACAACCCTGTGACCATGTGACAGAAAGGAACTTTTAATCATAACTCAAGAAATATGAACTTGAAGGTTAAAAATGATGAACTTGATTACATAAAAATTAAGAATTTCAGTTTCATGAAAGGCTGCTGTAGTGTCTATTTTTCCATGGTGTCACCAAATTCTAAACTGTCAACATCAACAATACATAACGAATTTTGAAGATTTTTTCCAACAAAAATAAAGATAAGCTCAATACAAACATTAAAGGTTAAAAAGTAGGTATCAAATGATTAGAAAATCCATAAGGAAAAACACAATTCTTACCATAAGTCAGAGAAATAAAAATTTAGACAAGGAGATTTCATTCAATATTCATCTGGCTATGAGAAGTTAGAAATTAATTAAACATTATTATAAATTATGATCCAACAATTCCACTCTTCAGCACAGAAAACATATAAATTCACAGAAGTTCACAAGGGCTTATTATTTTTCGCTAGATACAATTTAATAAATCGTAGCAAATACAAACCAATAATTAACTATCACACCCAAGTGGGAGGAAATGAGGATAGATATTTAAAATAACCCTATCTGAAAGTAGTAGCATACGCCTGTAATTCAAGCACTCTGGGAGGATAAGGATGGAAGATTGAAAATTTGAACCCATCCTGGGCAACTTAGCAAGTTTTTTTCCTTGTTTTTTCTTTTTTTTTTGCAGCACTGGTGATTGAAGCAACTTAGCAACTTAACAAGACCCATCTCAAAATAAAAAATAAAAAGGACTGGGACTGTAGCTCAATAAAAAGATCTTGGGTTTAATCCCTAGTACTGCAAAAAGTAAAAATAAAATAAAATAAAATGAAGTAAATGCTGAACAATAAATAAGATCCACAGCACAACACCATTTGAATAAATTAAAAACACATATACAAAATCATACATTTTTTCCAAGCTACATATACATACATGACACATATTGAACATTAGGGTTAGCATACTTAGAGAAGAGACAGGTGAGCTTATAGCTAAGAATTAATGATAAAACCTCAATAAAATAAGATGTAAGAGCGTTATATAAAATGATAATAGTGTGTCACAACTTAACATATACATGATTTATCTAACTCTATAAGTGAGTCTGAAAACAATTGTGTATTTATTTTAAACATCTTTTATAATTCAGTCTTCACCTGGTTTCATCTTCATATAAACAGTAATAGATGGAGAAAGAGAAACACAGAAAGGAGAGAAAAGAGAAGAGTGGGACATGGAGAGATAAAAATAAACAACAGGAAAGGGAAGAAAGAAGAAAGAAAGAGGTCTTTCTTAAACTAATGGAGACTATCAAAAAATACTTCAGGCAATTAAAAGTTCATAGACAGTGTCCTAGAATTCTAGAGTAAAGACTGAGTGACACTATGTTAAATATATGGAGGAAAAAAACAAATTTGGCAATAAGGTATATTAAACCTATTAAAAACAACTTGATACAAGTTTCACTGAATTTTGCTACATACAATATCAAGAATGGGCTTCTCTCATCAATTTGTCTTTGTTGATGCTATAGTTTAATTTTTTTAAATTCACTTTGTGTTTATCTGCGTGTCTGCATGTAGACACATTCTCAAGATGCAGAAAGGGTCATTTCTTAGAATGTTATTAATACTTTTAATATTTTCCCCTCAGAGAAGTCTTTTCAATGAGTTTTACAGAACAAAAAGAATAATTTTTATCAGATATAAAACTGTAAAAAGTTTTCAAAAGCATGTAAAGGTAGGCTACCATAGTTTAACTATATTATTAAATTTAAAATTATTATCAAATTTGAAACAAATCTGTATGTATATGTAACTATTCCTAATAATCTAATAATCAGTGGTTGACTGATAGAAATGTACTATCTATAACATATTACATGGCAAACAAGAACAAAAGTTTCAAGAACCAAGGACAGAATGTAATCAAACTACTTAACACTATTTTCTCATTTTTCATACTTAGTAATAGAGAAACTACCAAAATTATTAGGCAGAACCAAATAAAGACTCACCAGGACAGAATATATGTGTAGACATCGATAAACAGGAGAGAAATCCACCAAATCTTGGGCTCCAGGTACCTGCAAACACACAATTATCACACAAAAAAATTTTTAAAAGCCAATAAAAACCACAGCATTCATTTTTACTGTAAACATGTTCTTCCTTAAGGCCAGGTCTAGCTTTAAGTGGGAAATACAAAACAAACAAAAAGCCACCATGAACCCCAAAACCTAGTTCTGTTATTATAGTCATGCAAGTAATAAGCTGTGAAGATATATTCCATGGCTGGTATAAGCCCACAATAATAGAGAGCAAAGAACATAAACAAATGGCATTGGTCCTGCATCTACCTATAGAGATATATCTTGGACCATGGGCTATTAAAGGGAAAATACAAAGAATTATTTTTTTTCTCTAACATATATGGTGGTTACATTAAAAAAACTAAGTTTCAAAAATGGAAACAAAGTCTTTGTAAATAGGGAAGGGTGGAGGGGGTGAAGGGAAGGCAGGGGAATGGGGAAAAAATAAGAACCAAGATACTCTTATAAAGGTACAAGATCCCAATGATGAATGTAACTGTATTATATACCTAAAATGTACCAATAAACTAAATGGAAAAAAAAAAAAACTATGTTTCAGTGGCCAAAAATAAAACTTGCTGCTCAAGATGAATTAAGAGGTCTGCCAGCCAACTTCTGAAGGGCATAAGAATTAGTGAATATTAAGTGACCATGCAATCAAAATACGGAAGTACATTGGAAAGGAGGGAGACTTCACATAAAAACTAAACTAATGAATAGAAAAGCCAAACCTAGAATTAACACCAGAGATTTTAATGTAAATAATGGATACTGATTAAACTTAGGCATAAAGAGAAAGTAAAAGAAAAATCACCAGGCAGATAAGTGGAATCAAGTTGCAGTGCTAAACTAATTTGTTATGTGACCTGACAATGAGTAAGACACAATGTACTTTGGCTTACATTTCCTCAACTGAAAAAGGAAGCTAATGGTTGAAGTTCAGGTAGTCAACAAAAATAAAAGGTGACACTGAGAATAAATGCTGAACAAAACAACATGAACCAGAAAATGAAAAGAAAAAAGAAATATACATAAAGAAATGAACAAAATAAAGACCTAGCAGAAGTCTTTACTATAATACCAGTGGCTGTATGATTTATCAGAATATAAGCAGCAGGCACATCTAAATTGAGTTAGGCTGATTCATGATTTCAAGGTCAGTCAGTTTCCTTTATTTCACAAAGTAAACCTCCTGTCTTCTTTGGGGCATACCTTCTCTAATCAAGAAGCTTTTCTTAATGAAACCTACTCATTTTCAACTGCACAACACTTCCTTCCTTTTTCCTTGAAAACCAATACATCTCTATAATTACTGGTTCAAATTTATTGACTATTCTGCTCATCTGCTTCACACCCATGAAGGCAAAGATTAAAGTTCTATATTTAAGTACTTTATCATGCTATACACTCTGCAAGAGAGCAAAACAAACCTTTATGGGAATCTAAAGATTGCTAAAAATCCTATACCATGGCCCAAGAATAACTGTATTTTAAAAGTCAATAAGTAATCATTTAGGTAATCTTATTTGAAATGACCACAACATTAAAGCCCCTTCTTTTATTGCAAAGTGGAAATTTGAAGGAAATTTATCTTGCAAAAAAAACCACAGCCTGTTTTATCTTGCCAAAAAAACCAGGAAATTTCTTTTAACTTGCCAAAAAACCAGAGGCTACAACTAAGCAAAACACAATCTTCAAAGACAAACAATAAAAACACATTTAAAAATTATATTCCAGATAGTAAACAACATGTAACTACATATGCATATGAAAAAAGATAAGAGGAAAATATGTAATTTTAAAAGTTTGATCTATATAGGAAACAAAGTTTTTTTCTTTTATATAGAATTAGCTTTTATAAAGCTACAATATAAGAATATATTTATAAAAAGTCAAAGAAATTTTTTGCCTAATTTTGATTAGCAAATTTAATTGTAACTTTGTTTTATATGTTCCTCTTCATGTGGTTTATTTTGTTTTACTTTGTCTCAGAGACATGGTTTCACTCAAAAGGAAAACTACTTAAAACCATTCCTGACAGCCTTGGCCCTTTCCCATTGTAGACCCATCCTTATAGAATGATCATCCATACTAAGGGACATTTCCCTAGAAATCTGTGACAAATAAGCTAACAAGGTCCTTAACAAAGAAAGATATTTGGTTAATAATGGGCCGGGAGTGGTTTATCTGTGAAAACTTTAAAAAGAGAAAGATATATGTAGAGGGGTAACAAAGGTCTTTTGTCATAACCAACAAATATTTACAATCAAACTTATTTTTGGTGAGGCTGTTTGACAACACTGTATCAGCTTCAAACTCTTTAAACTGTTTTGACCTGTAAGTGTTGGTTCTATTTCTTAGCCTCTAAAACCATCATCTAGTTTGTTCTCCAAGTACATGACTGCCTGATTTGGAAATAGTACAGAGATCCAGGGAAACACTGAAGGAGCAAAATGGGGCTTCAGCTCACAGTCTTTACCCCTATTCCCCAAACAGCCTAATATTTAGAAATCATTTTTCCTACATGCTCCCCTCTGTGAGAAACACTAGGAATGAACGCTGTGAGGAACCAAGAAGAGTACTGTGAGGATAAAGGTATGTAAAGTATGCACTGACTCATGTTGCTTTGAGCTAGATGTTTTCTCTGCTTCCACTAATGAAAAAGAATCACTTACATCTACGGAAAGGCAAAAAACAGAAGAGCAACACACTTGGTACGTGATGGAATGCAACATGACTGCAAGAGTAAAAACGAATTTTCCAAAATCTAAGTAAATGGAAGCAGGAAAGAATACTAGAACAAAAGGCAGTTTTTCCTGACTCATAACCACAGCAATAGGTCAGTTTAAAGGCCCATATTTTGCTCTCTATTTAAAACATTAACTTTCTGTCCAAGCTGTCTTCATCCTTCTTCCCCTCCTTTGCCCCTCTCTCTCCCCTCAAGTTGCAAAGAATGCAGGTTTAGGTTTCAACAAGGAGGAGTCCAAGGACACTTTCCTAAGCTAACAATGACTGTCTCTAATGGTTTCTGTCTCCTAACAAAAGCCATGACTCCTTCTTTATCAGCTTCATCTAATTTTTCCTTTCCAAAGTAAATAACACAGCCTTCGCATTTTACACATGTCCAAATTTGACAAATCATTATCGACTGAGACTATAGCTGATAAGAGATAACTTTGTGGTAGGACATTGTCATTTCCTCTCATAAGAGCTCTTTCTTTTGAGAGACAGAAGCATGATTAAAATAGTTAAACATTTCCTCTGCCAGTTAGTCAGGAACTCAAGACATTAAGATACTGGAGTCTGTATTTTTCTAGTTCAAATAGACCTATGAATATACCAACAATCACCATAAACAGTACATTCGAGATAATTCTGCTTTTTTAACTAGTTGTTTTCCTTCTAAGAGAACACATGAAATAATTTCATCACCAAGGACAGCAGCTGCCTAATTCCCTTTATGGTTTCTGAATGAAGAGCATTGGTGCCTCTTGCCAGCTCAAAGCTCTGTATTTTCAGGAGGATCAAAGAGTAAGATTTTAGATTCTACACCTAAGACCTGTGCCTCAGAGCATGTTATATCATACCAATTAAGTGAACATGTGTATTTTTAAATAAACAAATAATAAGTTATTAAAAGAAGTTTGAGATGACTGAATTACAGTATCCAGGAGTATATATCATGGAGAAAAATGCTATATTTTTTTACAATTTCACATTCACATACTCATTATAGATCATGTATATTCACTAAAAACCAATAATATGATAATCTGCTTCACTATAATGACTGTTATATCTGTATGATAAATATTAACAACTTCAGTTAAAGCACCAAATTGTTGTCTGTGGAGAATTTGTTAAGTAGCATTTATATAATATAAATACACCAGCTTTCACATAAAGTTACTATTTAGATGACCAAAAGTTGTGTGGAGACAATAAGATACAAAGTAAGAAAAGTATATTTATAAATAGGATTAATAAAAGAAATTCTACCAAATGATCTTATGAGCTTCTGGAAACAATATTTATTGAAGAAGACAGAAAGATTCAAAGTAGGCATGGGAGTATTAGGTGATCAGGAAGAAAAGAAATATGAACATTTCTGATTGTGAAAATTCTTACACAAATAAAAAAAAACAACCAGAATCTAACTTTTATGGAATCATTTTCTTATACCCTAATATGTCTTAGTTCTGGAAAAAGGAAGTCTCTGAAAATGGAAAGATAAATACAGCATAGGAAAATGTTTTCAAACATTAAAGTAAAAAAGGAGATTTTGATTTTAAAATAAAAGCTGTCACTCAAGTTTTAACAGATATATCCATTTAATGTTTTTATAGCTCTCCTCTCCCCCTCAAAAGGATCAGTGTCTGCAGCTATTTCTACCGACTATTTTAAAAGACTTGCTAGAGAAGGAAGGTAAAGGGGTAGGGGGACAAGATGGGACTATCTGCAAGTAATAACCTGATAAATGTACCTGCTTAAAGCTAAGTAGGCATAGCGTGACTCCCTCCACTCAAGGAGAGTAGTAAATGTACCATGAGAGATTTGCCTATGCTACTGAGAAAGACAGTGCATGAAAACAGAAATGCATTACTGCACTCTAGCCCTGTTGTTCACACTTTTGAGGCACAAGGTACAGACATAAATGCTCCCTCTCACTCTTCTGCTCTCCCTCTTACACACAACCCATTTATTTTTCTCTTAAAAAACCTTTCAAAGTAGATGGATCATCCAAAAGGAATATGATACAAGTTTGCAAGAAATTTAGATATGTTTCTCAGTAATTATCCAAGCCATCTTCCTCCTTAAAAACACTTCTGATTACCACTTTACACAAAACAGTTTCTCAATGTTGGTAAATGAATGCAAGGACTTGATGTTCATTTTAAATATTAGTTGAACCTCAAGTCATTAAAATGTACCAGGCATTTTTCTGTAAGAAGCAAACAACAAATGATTAGCTGAAGAGACATAGCCTTTGCATT